TGCAATTACGCGGGGGTTTATGAATATGAGGTGAGCATTAGCTATTATCCCCTAAACCTAACCCAATGGGTCCATGTAGCTACATGGTAAATACTTAGCCCTTAAAATAGGTATATGGGAACCCCGTTGGGCCCTAAGTATATACCATGTACCTACAGGGACCCTTTGGGTAAAGGAGTCCTTCAGATTCTTTGAGTTTCGGACTGAAGGCTAGCATCTGAGAGGTGGGGTGCAGCTCCTGCTGTAGAAGCCTCATTTAGGGGTTAGGGTAATTGTTTTCGGGTTTGGAGTTTTGGTTTTAGGGTTCCGTGAGATTATTCCCCCCCGTAACTGGAGAATCAAATGGAGAAGCAAAAAGGAACATGACATGGATACGGGGCTATGTTGGGGATTCTTGGCATCATAATGCAGAAGCCAAGCTAGTTATCAACATTACGGTGCGGTAGGCTCCTGGCATGATCCTGGCATAGGGTACTTCAAATACTGTAGATCTCAACATGACAGTGGTAATTACTTTGACTCCACATTACGGTTTTGGGTTATTTTTCAAAACCACTCCCATGAAATTCACCCAAAAACACCCCAGAGATCTCCTTATTATCCCTAAGCCCTCCATACCCTAGACCCTAAATCCCTGAACCCTAATCCTAAACCCCTCAGTCCTAAACTCTATATCCCTAGACCTTAAACCCTAATCTCTAAACCCCAATCCCTAAACCTTAGTCCCCAATCCTCCCTAAACCCGAAACCCTAAATCCCTGTCCAATAACCCCATATCCTCAACCCCCCAAATCCCTAAACCCTACATTCCTAACCCTGAAACGCTAAACCCTAAACCTTAGATCCCAAAACCCTAAACCCTCAATCCCTAAACCCTAAATCCCTAACCCCTGATCCCTAAATCCCCAACCCCTCAATCCCTGAACCCTAAATCCCTAACGCCGAAACCCTAATCCCTAAACCTTTCCAGGTAGTCTCCAATCCTTAATCCCTAAGCCCTAAACCCTAAGCCCCAAATCCTTGAACCCATGCATTTGCGCGGGTTCCCAAGGGCCGAAGAGTTTCCCATTATGCCGGGTCTCGCGATTTACCCGGAAAGTATGGGGATATATGGGTCTCAGGGTTTGGGGTTTAGGGTTTAGGGCTAAGGCCACAAGTGCCCAATGATCAAGTACTTGGGCTTTGGGTATAAAGATAAGCGTTCTTCTGCAAAAGCGGGGAGGTTTAGTGGGTTCCAAACGTCCTGAGGCTAGATCAGCTTTGGCGAGTATAGTACAGGTTTTGGGCAAGTGTAGTATGATGATCTTGTACTTGGACCCTTAGAGTTGGTCTCTTTGCCGCTGTGCTTGCTCCAAGTCCCGACAGCCACCGCCTACCTAGAGTAACCTATATACCTTACAAAATGGTTTTAGGGTGTAGGGAACCTAGAGGGACCTACATACCTAATGCAATGGTCGTTGTACCTGATATTGGGGGTATCTTTACCTTTGTTTAAGGGCGTAGGCTACTCTAGGAAGCTGCTCTAGGTTTAGTAGGGAATGGCGGAATGAACACCTACGGCATTTCCTACATGTAAAGACACACATAATATACATGTACATATATATATATATGTATATTATGTGCAATGTACACAGATAGATATACAGACATATGAAAATGATCCCTTTCAATAAATACTCCCTGTGACTCGTTGCCTTATTCCCTGCTCAGCAAGACCAAATCGCCTAGCAGGGTGTGGGAAGTAGACTCCTCCAGTAATTGGTAGAAAGCAGGAGATCTAGGGAAATCAATGGAGACTTTCAGCATTATGAGGTTTCCTGTACTTTGGGCTCTCAACCCTGACTGTAAACTGAGCTTGAGACTTGGGTTCAGGCGTGTCAGGGCCTGTGTTGGATAGCTTTGAATTTTGGAACTGTGCTCCTTCATGATAGGGACTTAAGCCAACAGAGCTTTTTGCAAAGCCCAGCATTAACCAAGGTACTCTAACATCTATCAGGATTCCTAATAGGAACTATGAGCCATATTCCCCTGATTGGAGGAGTGTTGAAAGCCCCTCGCGGCGAATCATACAAAATGATTAGGTACCAACCCCTTTTTGTGTAGACACATTGTTTACTCTAGGTAAATCCTAGACCTCAAACCCTACACGTGCAACCCCAAAGCCCTGAACTCATGGGTTCAAGTAGTACCCCCCTCTATACTACCCCCCCCTAGGGTCCCCCCTTAATTAAGGTTATTTATTATCCCATTAAGGTTAATTAAGGGGGGAACCTTGGGGGGTAGTATAGAGGGGGGTACTACTGGAACCCATGAAGAACCCTAAGCTCATCTCTGAACCTTGGCTCTCCGAAGCATCTTGCGCGGTGTTCAAGGCCCAAAGCGTAGGACGCAACAAGTCCGCATCCTCCTCTGCAAGTGCCCAATCATTAGGTCCTGTTAAAGGGACATATAGATACAGGGTTTAGGGTTCAAGCGTCCAATAATTAGTGCCTTGGGTTTGGTGGGTAATAGTCATTATGGTGCAGGTCGTGGGTAAGTACGGGTATTTGGACCCTAAACTCTAACACTGATGATGAGATACTTGCACCTTAAACTAAAAACGCTAGCCTTGATTATACGGTTCTTGGGCCCCTAGGGTTCATCTTCTGTACTGGGTGCATCCCGGGGTCCCTCCAGGGCACCCTATTTCAGGGAAATCTCATATATCACAAAAATATAGATCACAAAACTATTGGGTTTAGGAGTTTAGGGTTTAGGATTTAGGGTGGAAGTTTACGGTTTAGGGTTTGGTGAATTGCCCCCCTTCGTGCGAAACCCAATGTGGTGAGGCACACGAGTGGTACCCTCCTGCACAGTCGACTGTTTTCTGCAGTGGCTGCTTGTCCACTGCCCCACGGCGGAGGCAACCCTGCCGCATTACTTATTGACCGCCTGGGTTGGCATCGCTTAGCCCGGAGAGGCGGCACGCGGACGGTACGGTACTCTGGAGTTTTTTTGTTGACTAGCCATGCAGAGAGAAGGAGCCCCCTGGAAAGGAAGGCAAGTGCCTTGGACCGACTGGCTTTTCCCCCTAAAGCCCGTTGCCAACAGCCCGCCCTGCCCGACTGTACCTAGTCCATGTAGGAACCATCCTGGCGCCTTGTAAGAAGATTGGAGGACTTGCATCCTGAAGGATAAAGGCCGCACATTTCCCTTGTATCCTCCAATATTCCGAGGGTCTCCAGGCATCCCCTTTTATAACTAGGATTTGAGGTTTATGTACTTGGGGAAGGCGTTCCAGCACTGAGAAGGAATGCATGAGATTTGCATGAGCCATTATTAATTAAGATGGCATTCCTGAATTCTGAAGCCCCCTTAGCTCTAAAGTCGTAAACCCTAAACCCCGCACCCTAATTCCTGAACGCTTTCACCCCACACCCTAGACCCCACACCCTAAAACCCTAAATGCCTGAACCCTAAAACCCCAAACCCCTACAGCGTAAACTCTAAACCCCCAAACCCTTAAACCCTGACTCCGTTAGACCCTACATCCTGAAACCCTCAATTCTTCGGGGTTTGTATCAGGTCTCGGCCTCTTTTGCCTCGCGTTTTGCCGTGAACGCAGTTGTCTTCCAGCCCTGCGCACAGGGTCAGGGGGTTTAGGGTTTTGGGGTTCAGGCTTTTAGGGGTGTAGGGTTTAGGGATGTAGGGACTAGGGTTCAGGGGTTTACCTGCAACCCCAACTACCTAGAGTGTTATAGGTTATACTTTAGGGGTAAACATAGGGTTGTGGAATTCAGGCCTTACGTGCCGTAGTCTGTGTGGCACGGGCTCATGCTCGCTGACAGACCCCTGAAAGCACAATTTTACGCATTTGAAGGCTCAGCACGGCATCCTTGAGGAGTTCTACTGTGTGAACGCTGTTTAGGGTTTGGGGCTTAGAGGTTTTGGGTCTAGCCTGGCGCTTTGGATCCGAGACTGCATCTTACTAAACCTTATGGAAATCTCTTTGGGGCGGTTGTCCCACCTGCAAGCCTCAGATGCCTTCAATTGCCCCAGTAAGTACATAAGCCTTCTGTAACGGTACCTACCATGAACCTCCCCACCTCAAATTTTCCAGGTCAACTACATGGCTCCTAGTACGGAATGGGTCCTATTCTAGTAAGTCTCTATATAGTCCCCTCTTAACCACCTTAAATCGAAAATCCAAGACCCTGAACCCAATATATTGTAGTTGCTTCCAGTTTCTTTCCGCTCCCTACTAAGTTAAGCACCTTAAACCTTAAACCCTAAACCTTAGCCCGAATATTGTGACAGTCTGGCTATCCCTTCCTTTTTCCTGCCAGAGCTGCTTAAAGCAAGTAAACGCCAAGCCTCAAGGCTCGAATGCTTTTAGACTGGCGGTGTAGGGTTGAGAGGTTTAGGGGCTTAGGGTTCAGGGATTTAGGGTTTAGGAGTTCAGGGGTTTAGGGTTTCTGGCATTCTGCCAAAGAATCTTAGTTATGAAGGCCCTATAATGTCCAAATGGGTCCTGCAAAAACCCTAGATGTCCTTGAAGGGCTCATGATTTTGCTTGCCAGCCCCTAGCTCTACTGTTTAGGGTTGAGGGTTTGGGGAGGGTTTAGGGCGGAAATCCTGGGTTTAGGGTTTAGGG